CAGGTGACCGGGCAAAAAATGATCAACTGTGCAAGTTCCGCGAGCAGTTAAAGTGAGTCGTCATGCAATTGGATGCATGCATCTAGTAACTTGCCGAGCATGCGCACAAAAAAATGGGCACAGTAGTTATAACTCTGTATGTCTCTACTCTGTGGTGGTGTACACAAAAGTTACCACAATGCATTAGGGCATGGAACATTGTAAACACGGCGTAGAATCGCAACACTTCGCCTCAAAGCACGACTTAAAGGGTCTACACTGCAAATTGCATTTCTCACTTTCCATCGTTGAATATGAATATTTGGTTGCCCTAGGGCGCCCAACACAAACGTTTCACCAGCGTTAGGTAAAATCTGGAGAACCTCTCGAACAACATTACACAAATCAGTATGGGTAATTTCAGTAAACGTGTTTCGTGACTGGTAAGCGGTACTCGTGGCGTCGTCGTAATATAGACATAGTTCGGTAGCTCACTCCAATTTCCGCAGCAACTTGAGACCATCAGCTGCGGTGTATCCCATGTAAGTTGGTCAAAGCATTCTGCAGAAGACTGTATCGTCTTCTTCCTTTTTGAACAATTCCTTCTGAATGGACAAGTAAAACTCAGCGGGTTAGCTAAGTTCTCATTTCTGATCCAAAACGCGTCGTAACTATTGCACAATGATTGCAATTCAGACACCAAAATACCAAGATCATTCTGAATTTGTCGATCGTCAATGCGTTCTATTGCACGCTGGAGAAGTATATTTACACAAATAAATTGTCTTCTAGGCGTCGCTGGATAAACTCAACAACAGTATTGTCACAAAACTAGAAATACATGCATGCAATAACCCCTCGCCTGTTTTCAAAAGATATATACTCAGTGCCGTTGCGAGCACTTCGTCGCACGGTGTGTGTGTGGTTAGATAGAGGGGGGGGGGGGTACCAAAAAGTTTCAAGATTTACAAAAAATTTTCAGGACATATAATAATTTTTCCGAAAATACAGTTGTTTTCCAAATTCACTTTCTCAGTAATGTCCTGAGAATTACCTGAATTCCCCTGAAAATCTTCTGCAAATCTACTTAAATGTACGTACTAAAAGTGCACTGGAAATCTACCTGAAATTCATCATGAGCAATAATCAGGGGTGTTGCACCCCCCCTCCCCAAGTGAGTCCCAAGCAAACACTCTCTGATTTATTGTTCGTGTATTTCGATCACCTCCCAAAATATTGTGCATCATACTATAGAGCATTTTGCTGTTGTCATGCTCTAGCATGGTTCAAATTTATGAATTTTTATTATATAAAGTATAGTGTTTTACAGAGTTTTCGAGCACTGACAAAAATGATAATCTCAGATGTGAAATTATTCATGATAATCTCACATGTAAAAATTTATCGCCTTTTCAATTATCGCTTTTCTGTAAACATTATCGCTTTTCATTTAAGACTGTCCTTTATATAATAAACAGAAAAATACATGGGTGGTTGGAAATACCAGATTTATTTTTTGTGTTGAACATGACATCTCACTCGTTCCCTGCGCTCACTTGTTCGCTGCACACTCATGTTCAACACTCGAAATGAATCTGGTATTTCGTGCACCCATGTATTATTCTCTATTTAAACTACAGCTAGACTGGTTTAAATTATTATCAATTTATCAGTGATTGTAAAAGTTGGAGATAGAAGTGTTTCGTTTTATAAAATTATCAAGTTGTCGGTGATCGCAAAACCTCCAAATCCTTAATTTCAAATGTTAGAATGTTAGGGTTAGAATGTTAGGGTTTGTAATATATACATTTTAAGTGAGAATATATACATTTTAAGACCTAACCAGGAACGACTGCGAAAAATGCAGCACAAGGTCCTATGGAAGGAAGTGAACCTACGGCTCTGTGATTCCGGTGCAGCGCAGGCCAGAGGCCAGCTGTTGAGCTTTAACCGTAAGTTCATGTATATTTAAGTAATCGGGTGTGCGGGTTATGATAAGGTGGACTTCAATAATTTGGATTCTTGCACTTCACTTGGTGGACTTAATATTAGAATGTTAGGGTTTGTAATCCAAGTGAGAATATATACATTTTACGACCTAACCAGGATCGACTGCGAAAAATACAGCACAAGGTCCTCTGGTAGGAATTGAACCTACGGCCCTGCGATTCCGGTGCAGCGCTCTAACCAACTGAGCTACAGCTCGGCCAGCTGTTGAGCTTTAACCATAAGTTCATGTATATTTAGGTAATCAGGTGTGCGGGTTATGATTTAAGGTGGACTTCAATAATTTGGATTCTTGCACTTCACTTGGTGGACTTAATTTTAGAATGTTAGGGTTTGTAATCCAAGTGAGAATATATACATTTTAAGACCTAACCAGGAACGACTGCGAAAAATGCAGCACAAGGTCCTATGGAAGGAAGTGAACCCACGGCTCTGTGATTCCGGTGCAGCGCTCTAACCAACTGAGCTACAGAGGCCAGCTGTTGAGCTTTAACCATAAGTTCATGTATATTTAGGTAATCGGGTGTGCGGGTTATAAGGAGGACTTCAATAATTTGGATTCTTGCATTTCACTTGGTGGACTTAATATTAGAATGTTAGGGTTTGTAATCCAAGTGAGAATATATACATTTTAAGACCTAACCAGGAACGACTGCGAAAAATGCAGCACAAGGTCCTATGGAAGGAAGTGAACCTACGGCTCTGTGATTCCGGTGCAGCGCTCTAACCAACTGAGCTACAGAGGCCAGCTGTTGAGCTTTAACCGTAAGTTCATGTATATTTAAGTAATTGGGTGTGCGGGTTATGATAAGGTGGACTTCAATAATTTGGATTCTTGCACTTCACTTGGTGGAATTAATATTAGAATGTTAGGGTTTGTAATCCAAGTGAGAATATATATATTTTAAGACCTAACCAGGAACGACTGCGAAAAATGCAGCACATGGTCCTCTGGTAGGAATTGAACCTACGGCCCTGTGATTCCCGTGCAGCGCTCTAACCAACTGAGCTACAGAGGCCAGCTGTTGAGCCTTAACCGTAAGTTCATGTATATTTAGGTAATCGGGTGTGCAGGTTATGATAAGGTGGACTTCAATAATTTGGATTCTTGCACTTCACTTGTTGGGATTAATATTTGAATGTTAGGGTTTGTAATCCAAGTGAGAATATATACATTTTAAGACCTAACAAGGAACGACTGCGAAAAATGCAGCACAAGGTCCTCTGGTAGGAATTTAACCTACGGCCCTGCGATTCCGGTGCAGCGCTCTAACCAACTGAGCTACAGAGGCCAGCTGTTGAGCTTTAACCGTAAGTTCATGTATATTTAGGTAATCGGGTGTGCGGGTTGTGATAAGGTGGACTTCAATAATTTGGATTCTTGCACTTCACTTGGTGGAATTAAAATTAGAATGTTCGGGTTTGTAATCCAAGTGAGAATATATACATTTGCATATTCTCACTTGGATTACAAACTATTCTCATTTGGATTACAAAATATATACACAAAATATATACATGTACTATACCGGTACATTTGTATATTCTCACTTGGATTACAAAATATTCTCACTTGGATTACAAAATATATACATGTATATATTCTCACTTGGATTACAAACCCTAACATTCTAATATTAATTCCAAGTGCAAGAATCCAAATTATTAATTTCAAATGCCCCGCCGGTGCTAAGGTTCGAGTGGAAATGCCCAACCCCCGGGATGTGCTTTACAGGAAAATGGCTGGGCGAGGGGGATGGGCACACTTGGATTTGGCTGATGCATTAAAAGTCCTGTGCTTATTCCAGACTGCTTGTCAAATATTTACTTGCTAGAAGTAGAAATTTACTCTGACCGCTGGATGAAGAAGACATTAAATAAGTACTGGTCAATAAACAGAAATGTATTTTATTTCATAGTATTACAATTTTATTTTTATACTATAAAAATAAAATATAAACATGCAGCATAGAATATGCAAATTCGCAGATGTGTAGCACCTCTCGCAAAGTATTACCTGATTGGCTAAAATGACAATTCGGGTTTCAAGGGTTTCAACCATTTTCAACCAATCAGCGATCACAATTAAGAATTTTAATTTAAACGTGAGCACAATACGGAAGTCAAGACTACAGAGCTTAAATGATCGAATTTTTCACAGACAAATGGCGATTTAAAAAGAACCTTCGACACAATGTCCTATTTGTATTAATATACAGTAGATAATCTGTGGTCAAGACTCAAGATGACGGTTCTGTAAAAGTCAATAAGGTTTTCGTATCTTTGAATCTTGTAAGTATAGTTTTTCATTATTAAAACATGTAATTAAAGTTTTAATACAGTAATACAGTGTGTTGTCCAATTTTCGGACAGTAAAATGTTTTCACACTATATTTTGCGATTTAAGATGTTTAGCAGGTTCAAATTTGTACAGATGATAACCACTTCCCATGGCTACAGTACTGTATACTTTATTTTTTCTGTAATATCAAAAACAAGTACTTCATTTTCATTTATACCACATTTCGGACAGCTGGTCCGCTATTCGGAAATTATAGGTTTTACTAAATTTTCTCCCGTGCAGTTCACTTGCACTAAAGACACTGATGACCATTTGTTTGAAAGATAAATGAGCAGGTCTTAAAATAAGCCTAAAACCGTTTTATTAAATATAGCAGGCCGATAGTTATTAAGTACAAAAGATGGACTCCGTTTTTTTTAATACACCCTGTATAAAGCCATCGTCCGAGCTCCTCAAAAATTGCTCCTCAAAGCTCCTCAAAAATTGTTTCTTAATTTAAAAGTCCGAAACTTCTTAAATTTTATGACAGTAGCAACAATTATTGTTGCACTAAAATTTATTTTTTTGCTATTCTTCATAAAAAAATTTGGCGATAAAAATATTTCGTCCGAATAGTGGTACTGTCCGAAAATTGGACAACATACTGTATAGCGCTTCTAGCGATGTTATTGATCTATTGTTGAATGTCACTTATATTATAAAGTGCCAATGGTTGGAATATTTATTCATTGATATTTTAAACACAGATGAAGTGTTATATGCTCTTTCTTTGTTTACGTTTTCCTTGCAGCCAAATGTTGTTGAAGCTGGCAAGCTGCAAAACTGACATATGAGTGATATGACCCAAATATTGGATATGCATCTTAGTTTGCTTCCAGTAAAATGTAAACAAGACCTTAAGAATTCTATACGAGATAAGAAATATTCTGTTTAAAATCATGACTGGCAAATTAGCATGTGCGAATTGATGCTTCCTAATAATAGTATGTACTCCAGTAAAGCTTGCTTGCTTCAATTCTTGCTGTTACCTTCTGCACATTTAATATCAGGGTGGAGAGTTGATTTGAATTTTTTGTCCCAGGGATAAAGGTAGGGATAGATTTTCCATCACAAAAGGGGCAAGGTGCCCAACCAGTTCTAAGATGGCATGTACTTTAAGTGACCATTCATTATACCCTAGGGTGGGGTGGGAGATTCTTATGTCAAAATGTCATGGGACCCCTTTTTAATCTCTTAATTTAATAATGGAGACCCCTCCTAAAATATTTAAGACTATATAACATGATGAAATTCTAATCTTCATTCATGTGAATGCCTGACTATGAAGAAAATACATTTTGCAACACATGGATGGATCCAGCATGATCTGGTAGGGGGTGGGGTGGGGTGGGGCGTGCTCTGCCAGCTCTGGTGCCGAGTTGTGTTGGTCATGTGTGCCGCCCGCCCATCAACTTGCTTCACTACTGCAAAGTCTTGCTTTACTACTGTATTTGAATTGTAATTGCTGTTCACAGCTTGCTTATCATCATGTTATTACTCAAATTACTGTATCTCATTTTGCCTGTAATCATTTTTTGCTTTATCATGAAAAATAGAACCCCCCCTGCACCCCCTCTGGCCAGGGCTAGGGGAGTGCACAGCCCCCCCCCCTCCCTGGTAAATCCATCCCTGTTGCAACATACACTACAAGAGCTAGAATGATTGCTTCCTTTGGATGATTTGTCTTAGAATTATATTACCTATATTACAACAATTCTTCCTATTCTGAAACCAGTTGCTATTCTGTTTTTTACAACACTCCCCCCCCCAAAAAAAAAAAAACTCAACAAATCAAGGACCCCCTCCAAGGCAATTTTGCCAGCAAAATAGATTAAATTTGATGGTAATTGTTTTGAGAATATATTAACTCATTGAGTGGCAGCATTCTGCCTAGACTTGCCACAAGTCGACCTCAAACGAAATGCAAGCAGCGAGTGTGAGCCAACGTTTCATTCAAGGTTGACTTGTGGCAAGTCTACATTCTGCCCTTGAGTAAAATTGTCTGGCACCAGACGGAGTAATATATTAAAGTAGGGTTAAACAAATTTTTAAAAAGGGTTAAACAAATTTTTAAAAATTTTGCAATGGTTTATATTCAAAAAGCTCAATTTGTAAATGTTAATTGAATTAATATAACTACTTAATTTATACTTATAGCCTTGCCCCAGTCACTTCAAGTGAATTCTATGGGAGGAGGGGGACATTGAAAATCCCTGGGTTTACTTGATAAAAGCAAGAATTGAACCATGCATTACATGTATATGGAGAGCAGTTTTAAATATATTTTATCATGCAAATACTGTACCTTCATTGATAATTGTTCTTAAATGTCTTTGGCTTAGAATGGGTACACCCTCCAAAGGTGTTTATTTACAGGGTCCAAAGGCGTAAATATACACTGTCCAAGGTGTTAATATAAACAACAAAAACAATGTATATAATTAAATTTTATTAAATAAAATGTGGAATATTTTACAAATTGCATTAGCGTTATTAGCATCCCAAAGTGTACATAATTTATCAATATAATAGTAGGACTTAGAAGCTGTTCACATGAGTTTGACTCTGACCCAGCACCCTTGGCTTTGCTCCCCTTGCCCGATCACAAGTAGAAAACCTCCAACCCCCTCTGACAAATCAGTCCAGATCTGCCCAAGAGGCAGGATTTTCTGGAATATTATTAGCAGTGAAATTGTTGCATATTTTCAAGCATGCATTGTAACCTGATTTTAAAGCCTGTTTGAACATCAGGCATTGTGGCAATGGCATGGTGGTCCAGCCATATGAATACAATCTTAAAATATCATAAAAACAATGCAATTTAAGGCCATACAGCCCATTGAACTCCTGCGAACAGCCCTTTATTATTACACATTCGAAGCATCTCTTGAGGCATCAAAGTACTGTACATGCAGGCACAAGGAATTACATACGAGTATGTGACATAAGCCCACCATATATTGCACAACTTTGTCTGCAACAATGCAAATACAACAAATGCAAATACAATCAAGCTGGAAACGGATTTTATCAGTATTTTGATATATACATTATGGCTCATGTCTAAAGACACCTGCACTTTCATATTGAAATTGTTCTAATATCATCATAGGCAGCCCAAATGATGTTGTAGATTCTTGTATTATCAATTAAACACAGTTGTTTTATCAACAAGAAAATATTTCTTTAAAAAAGAAATGTTTCGTTCCAATATAATTATAGAAATACCAGACGTCTGTAATTAGCGGTTGTGACCATAGATCACTTGTATATGTCGAGCAATGAAATTGGTTCATTTTGTGAGGCGGGCGGGTTCTATAAATTTTCATTACCCGGAGGGGCCGAGCGGTCCAGAAATACAGTTGTAGTATTTAAAATGAAGAAAAACAAAGAAAACTATATAATAAATATATACCGCTGTTGGCGCTTGAATACTTCAAAAGTTCAAATATAAATCATCGTGCCTGTAGATTTTGACCTGAAGTTCAGGCCCTAAGATTTTAATTGATTGCAAGTTCACATAAACAACAGTTTTAAAAATAGCTCGGTGAAGGGCTCAAGGGGACAATAATAATATAAAGGTCAAATGCACGTAATAAATGCACGTAATAAATCCATTATCGATTTCTTCGAATTTCTTTTCTTTTATGCTTTATGGCAGAAAATAAATCAAACAAATAGTATTTTGAAGGTCTTTATCAAAATCTTTGACGAATTTTGGAGTCCACCCCTTTAGAACAGTCTGAAAATTTTTCACCCTCCTCCAACATTAAAGTTAAGAAGAACATAGTATGGCCGTATGGTAGTTCTTTCCATCCTATTCTTGTGTGCTCTTTAATTACAACCAGGGGCGTAGAGAGGACCTTCAACTTGGGGATGATGGACAGGATTTAGCCAACGGGGGGGGGGTGGGGTGAAATAAAATCCAAATCCACAATATAATTGTGTATAATCTTGTCTAAGTAAGTACGTATGGCCTCAAGAAGAAAGGGTTTACTTTGGGTTTTTAAATGTAAAATATATTTACTTTCAATCATTATTCGATTTTAAAAGTAATTCGCTTTATTTTAACCCATCATTTTCCATCACGAAAAATCATGTCTTTTCTGCATTATACAGTCTTCGGACTTATGCAAACTCACACTCCGAATATGCAGGAAATCGCATTTCAGGGACTCTAGATTTCAAAATATTCTGGGGGAGCATGCCCCCAGACCTCCCCTAAAATGGCTCACGCCTTTTACGCCGGCTACGCCACTATCTCTTTACTATCTTCTTTATATCAATGCTATAAAATTTTATTGTCTCCCCAAAACCATTCTTTTAATTTTTCACCCATAAAATATATCCCCCCATTATTTTACCAGCCTCCCCCCCCCCCAACCGATAAATAATGAACACTAAGCATTTTACCTTTCCCTGTTGAAAATGTATTAACAGGTGTACAATTGACGTATTAAATTTGCAAAACACATAGGAGAACGGGGCTGATGTTTTCTGCGGGGAGGGGGGAGTTGAAAGTTTGCCCGAATTTTTATGGAGAATTGTAAAGAAATAACCTGATTTTAACATATTTTCTCATAAATCTGGTCGAATTTTTTTGATTTTTCCTAGCGTTTGCCCGAATTTCCATGGTTTTCCAAAATTTGGGAGGCAGTTGCCTCACCCCCCCCCATCCCCGCCCCCCCGTCTCTTACGCCTGTGTCAATAGGGCATTTACAACATGAACATAATACGAAGCCAAAGTGAAAGTGAAAGAAACTTTAAAGAAAGCGTGCCAATTCTCGTATTTACTCGTATGTACTCGTATTTTACTCATATGTACTCGTATGTAGTCGTATTTACTCGTATGTTAATCGTGTGTACTCGTATGTTACTCGTGTGTACTTGTATGTTACTCGTCTGTTACTCGTATGTACTCGTATGTTACTCGTATGTACTCGTATGTTACTCGTATGTACTCGTATGTACTTGTGTGTTACTCGTATGTTACTCGTATGTACTCGTATACCACTCAAATATTACACAAATGTAGACCACTCAAATATTACACAAAAACATTTAAATCGAAGTGGTCTGCATTTGAATAGAGACGGAACTACTCAATTAGCTCGTAATTTCTTAAATATCATAAATCATAATAATTGAAATATTGCCGGATGGGAATCCCTAATCTCTGTGCTGCCAGATGATAATAATGATAAAACTGAAGATACACCTTTAACTATCGGTCATAACGTCTATGGACGTGGCTTAGTGATG